AAAAAAGTTTCTTTCATACGTTTTGCGTAGTTGCTTTAATTCAATAGTAAAATATGGCAGTTGCCGTTATAAATCGTTTAGTGCTCGCACTAGGCAATCGCTTGGGCATATGAAGGTACATACATATGTATTTCTCTACGGGATCTCAAATCACTCGAGCAAAGTTTTATGGGGACCATAAAGTACATATGTACATATTTTTTATGATACAAAAAAATTCTCACAAATTATGAAATAAGTAGCGATGAATGACGTTGATACTAACGATTTTAATATCCAGTCGTAAACATAATTAGCGATTATAAATATTTATCTAGACCAGTGCGTCAATATGTATGTTTATGAAGAATGGAATTTTCAGTGAAAGTTACTAGTGGTCTCCGATAGCGTTCTAAATACAAGCAAACAAACAAGTTCAACTCTACGCTAAACAAATTTGAGATTACGTATAAGATAACTTTACAATGACCTGCTCCAATGATGCATGATGGATGTATGGTCATGGCTGCATTTTACTTGATTTAAGGTAGCCTAAGGCCGCACGGTTGTAACTATCTTGAACTATTTCGAGGTTCCCAACTTTTTTAAAGAAAAAACACTGCAACTTCAAATTTAATTGAGAATGTTTATTATCATTCGAAAGAACGTTCGTTGTTATTTACTTTTTGAAGGAAATCTCTTTCAAATGTTAGCTGCGGCTACTTCTTAGATGGACGATCCGTTGAGTCCAATTTTAGAACACTCGTTCGAGCATTTCAATTGCTAATTCGAGTGCCACGCGTGATGTTTTTCACCAAGGCCTGAATCGAAGTTGAATTGTCCGCATAGACTTAAGACGTTACATATCTTCACAGGAAAAAGACTAACGGTGTCATATCACACGATCTTGACGATCAATCGATCGGCACAAAACGTGAAATCATCCGTCGCACCTAAGTATTCCCTCAATAAATCCATTGATAGATGTGACGTGTGGGAAGTGGCCGAGATCACAAGCTTCATTTTCAGGCACCAAATAGTCGATTATCATGACGCGATAACGGTCGCGTTGACGGTTTCGTTCTCACCGGCATCATTGGAGAAATATGGATCGATGATTCCACCGGACCATGGCAACTTTTGAATCTCTACAGGTTGCAATTAGGGACAATTTTGCCATGACAAAATTTACCCATGAGAAATGGGTCTTGTTGCTTGAAAACGTCCTATCTCCAAGGAGCCCATATAGCGAGCGATTTCGCTTGGGAAGGTCGAGCGGTTTGAGTTTCTGCACAAGCTCGACAAAATGCACCAAGTCGTTCCATACGTCAGTCCGAATTGTTGCGAACGGCGCCGAATCGATGTTCCACGGTCCCGTGTACACTTTGAGCTACGGCTGCTATATTTTCTTCAGTGCGTGCTGACACGTGGTATACAATATTGACAAAACAATACTCAACAAAAATAAAATGTCAGCTTGACACGACTCACATGTGGTCTGTCAAAAAAAAAAGGCTATTGCAAAAAGTACAACTACTTGATTCATCCGTTAAAGAATTACTCAGGTTTCAAAAATGGATATCAATCAAAAGTGTCTAGTCTCCAGTTCATTTTTTACCAAAATTTTCGAATCCAACCTCAATTTTTTTTATTATACCTTGAACAAGCATACATACATACATTACGTATCACGAAGCTTGCACAAAAAAATGTTGGTGACGCTATAAAATATGTATAAAAATAATCAGTGTGACTGGTTCGTCTGTCCGTCTGTTTGTATATTCGCAAAATAGTCCTTCAGTTTTTCAGATATCTGGAATTTTACTTATTCTCTTCTTCCCAAGAAGCTGCTCATTTGTCGGAACCGTCGATAACGGACCACTCTGAGCAGTAGCATACAAACTGATCAATCAAAATCAAGTTTTTGTACGAAAAACTTGTTTACTAGCTTCAAATACTCTACTTTTTCCCCGCACAAAGTTTTCCAACCCAACCTCAACTGTTTTATTTCTATATTACATATTGAATTAGAAAATATATTATATATTATATGTATATAAACTATTAATATTTTAACTTATCAACCAGAAATTAATAATATTTTGTTTATTAAATAATTATCTTCACTCTTCTTTGCAGTTGGTGTTGCTGTGATTGTGCCCAAACTCGGACTCTTCATTTCGCTAATCGGTGCACTGTGTTCCACTTCATTGGCGCTCTTGATACCGGTGATACTTGATTTTGTTTTGCGCGCTGGCGTGCCCAAAGCCCTGACCACTTGGGTGTACCTGAAGAACATGGCGATTGTGCTGATTGCCTTGTTAGGCATTGCCACCGGCACTTATCAGAGCGTTGTAGAGATAATCCAAGAATTTTATGATTAAATATGTTGTGACAGGCAAATAACAATTAAGTTTGATATCCATGTACGTATGTGTTGATGTGGTATTTATTACCGTTATATATTATGCATTAGTTGTGTCACGTGTTGTGTTAAGTTAGTACATTTTTAAGTAATTATGGCCATGAGAAAAGTAATTATCGATAAAAACAAATTATTGTAAATAAGCTGTTATGTAAATACTTAGTTAATAGGTCGTCCCTCATATATTTTTTCATAATGGAGGGATATCATTACGATTTCCATGCCTAAGTAGCACCAAATAGTCTGTTAGCTTTTCTATTAGTGTTAATTTGATTAAATTTAAGTATTTGTATTTCTATGGTTTTTATATAACGTGAAGCTGTGCTAAGATGAACACTGTGTTACTTTGTTTTAAAAATTCTGATTTAAAAAGCGTAAATTACTTTATATAAATTTTAAATATTATTTGTTTTTAGTTCTTAACTATAATTTTAATTGCAAGAACATATGTATTATTAGTCTAAAAGCTTTCCATAGGATAAGAAAGTATTTTATAGAAAAATGCTAAATAAAAAGAAAATACAATTCAACTATAACATCTAAACTAATGACATTTTTTTTTTTTGAAATGTTTTCTAATAAAAAAGGGTCACATACAAGATTTCATCGCTCAGTTTGTATGACAATTTTATATTATAATGGTACTTTTATCGTCGGTTTCGACAAATTGACAGCTTTTTGGGAAGAAAAGGACGCGTGCGAAATTTCAGAGCGACTTATCATTAACTGAAGGACTAGTTCGCGCAGCACGGTTTTTAAGAAAACAATTTTTGCAATTTTTTTCAACTTTACCATACATTTTGTTTTTAATTTACCATCTTCATAAAAACACAATAATACACTAGACATTTTTTTTTTTTGTGTATAAAATAGCGACCATTAGAATTTCACGTTTCTAACATGGCCGCATTTTTGCCTTTATTTGCTTTTTTACTTTGTTTTTTCAAGTACTCGCTCTTATCAAGATTATTCTGGAAGAATGTAGTCTCCTTGCGCGCCTGCGACACCTCGGTGTGTAAGCGTTGCTTATGCACAGCTTGCTCATAGTTCATACGCTCCGTGAGGTGCACCCATTTGAAGCGAGGCAAATATTTCATACTCCACATATAATCGTAGAACTGTGACTTTTTACGTGTAGAAATTTGTTTATTGTTTAAGAGTTCAACAATTTGTTTGGCCGCGCGCTTTGACTCGAACTCAACCCAACCCTCTGTGAAGTGACGCGCCAAGCGTTTTCGCTTCTTCTTTTTGTCGTTGCCTGCTAACAATATCTATGTTTTAGAAGTTTTCTCAAGGCATAGTAAATGAAACTTACCACCGGGTAATTTCTCTGGTTGTAAGTACACACGTCCAAGTTCAGCATACTCGCCCAGAATTTCACGCATTCTAGTGACATTCATGTGTTTGGGTATGTTCGATATGTAAATGATGCCCTTCTTGCGTTTCTTTTTCGCCTTCACATTGAAGTTGCCCATGTCCATTTCATCATCCTCGTCATCGTCGGCACCAGCACTTTTAAGATTTTCCCCAATATTGCTGGTTGCTGATGTTGTGGTTTGCTGTTCTAGATCGGACTGCGCAGATCGTCCGCCACTTGAGTCCTGCATATTGGCAACCTGCGACATTTCCTCCAACTCCTCTGGGGGTGGTGGTGGTGGTAAGCCACTTTGTTGTTTCTTTTGCTTAATTTTTACAATCATTTAAATGTTTAATTCAAGTAAACTATATTTTCGACAATGTACTGGTAGTATTGAATAGGAACACGCCGTTGAATCAAAACAAATTTGACAGCTGACAATTAGGGTTTCCAATGCAAGTTATAAAGAGCTACTATTTTATTACAATAATAAAATCTCTCAACAATTCCGAAATTTATGTTTTTTTATTCTTAGTTTTATTTAATTCATAGAAAAATAAAACGGTTGTATTATCTAAAATACCACAACACTGCAATCTTGCAAGTTGTAACATGCTAGTGCTGCCATTCATAAAAATTATAACTAATTTTAATTCGCAAATCAAGGTATATTCAATCACTTTTATTATTGTTAACATAACTACTTTAAATAGCGTAATTTTATTGAAATATTATTAACAGCAAGAAGTTTCTTTATTATAATTTATTAAATAAACAAATGGTTTCCTGCTTGCCGTTCCCTACTGGTAACACTCAATAATTCTAGCGAGTAAACCGACTGTCAAAGAGAACTAACGAATTGGTTGACTGTCAACAAAAGCTAGTTCTGCTGCTGCTGTCGCCTGGAAACGCAAGCAGAGAACAGGTAGGTAAACAACAGCAAACGAGAAGACAACAACAAGACTGGGCAGTCCCCTGAAATAGACGTTAAAATTGTGGCTTCAAAAAACAACAAATAAACGAGTGGCAACCAAGCAGCGAAAAATGACGAAACAAGGTAAACGGCAAAATTCCATGGAAGCCAAGTGACAAACGAGTTGTTGACATGAGTGCGAACGGGAGTAAAGCGCGCGTGTGCGGAGAACGCGATTTTTGAAAGAATTTCAAATTTTCCAAGTGTGTAATGCATAATGCAGTTGTGTCTACTGATCGGATTTAACGAAAACTAACAAATTTAATGCACTTGCTTAGTGCAATAAGAAACTAAAACACGATATTAGCAACTTGCAAGTGCAACGAAGTGAAAAAATACATATATTATGTGAATAATTGTGGTAACGAAACATAAAGTATGTAATAAAATATAAGGGAAAAATTAACCAACGAACGTGTCTGTGAGATTGTGCAAAATAAAGAAAGGAAGCAATAACTAAGAATTGATAAAAATGCCATAAGTACCGACTGCGTTGAACCAACGGCGACGAAACTAAATGTAAACGTTTATAATGCAAAAGCGGTGAAGCAAAAACAAAAAGAAAAAAAAAAAAACGACAAGTGTATAACAAACTGAAGTGTGTAAATAAATTTGTTTTCTTTGTTGTTTTAGATACATTTTGCATTTGTATCTACATTTATTACGTTTTTTCGCTTATGGCCACATTTTTGCGATCCTAAATCTGAGCTGTAAAATCCAGTTTTTAACTCGCGCATTCAGATCGCCATTTCTTCCAGTTGTGTATGATGTGTGCTTCGTTTAGCATTGTTTGCGCTATATATTCTAGTGATTCATGTTTTCCTTAAAAGTTTATAGCGATAGTGATAGGAGCTTTACTGCTAATAAGCAGTTGATCTTTCAAAGAAATATATGTACATATTGTAGATTCCTTTATAAACAAAAGAATAATGAATAAAGTTCCAAAATAATTTTTTTTTCTTATACCATCTAATTCTTAAATCCACCCAGGAAGTGCAGCTGTCAAGTGCTAAACATCGTACAGTACATGCACTTCCCAATTGTGCTATTATCTTGCTTTAGTAGAAATGCTGGCTTACTGGCACTAAGTTGGTGTTTGTGTAACGTATTTTCGTGTCGACAAAGCGCAGCTGCATACTATTTATGTGGAAGCAACCACAAAAACTACATCCACCAAACACAAAAATACCCGGCGTACACCTATGTATGTCTATGTATTTATGTATGCAATTCAAGGATCACTAACGGCGCCTTTGCTAGTGCATTTTATAGACGGCAATTGGAGGGTGACTCCATAGCTTGTCATGACCCTCTCGAGAATAGCAGCACACATCATCGACTACACAATGAATGCTGTATAATTGCATTGTTTTTGTTTATAATATAATAATTTTTTTCTCGTCTGGCGATGGCCTAGCGCGCGCCTATTATATGACCTTGTAATTCGTATTTCTAAAATATTTTAATGCTTTTCTATACCACTACTTATAATATTTTAACTAATCGCAGAGCTGTCAATTTAAAGTAACTAAACGTCTGCGAAAATTTCAAATAAATGAATTACTGCCGAATATAAAACGAATGCGTGACTCATTAGCTATTCACCTAATTGATAAAAATTTAACTTAGTGTTGTGTACTAGAAAGTGAAAATTATTTGTTAAAAAAATAAAAGTGTTTGTCAAGTTTAACGAATAGTTGTTTGTGCAGAGAATTAGCGTAGAAAAATTGTCAAAAATGAAGGTCACCGTTTGTTTTGGTGCCATCCGCATTGTTGTGCCGTGTGGCAATGGCGATTTGCTGGTGAAGGATCTTATAAACGAAGCAACCAGGCGTTACAAGAAAGCAGCAGGAAAGGTGAGTAATCAAAAAAGAATGAATAATATAAAACATGATAAGTAGAACGAGTCAGTTTGTTGAATTTGTTGAAATTTGGCATGAATTCTGTCAATTGAGGGGTCGCCGTAGTTCTTATTGTAAGAAATATTCTTATTTTTAGAAATATTATATCTGCTGAGGAACCTTCATATAATTTTAAGATAATAATAATTTGGAACAACGCACTTACGCCATCCTATGCTAAATGCAATTGATGATCGTGTTTTAAAGAAAGAGAACTTGTTGAATGTTGCATATTCCAAGAAACTGCATTCAGCCATACCAAATTTTCATATAAAATAAATTCTTTTCAAGTTATTTTGTAAATATCATTCCAGTTTCACTTTCCGTTATCGGCGTAATCTTTAAACGCTAAAGTCTTATCTTTACGAGAAGAACTACTTTTTTCCTACTAAGAGATTTACCTGTTTTCTTAACTGAAAATGCAATCAGTTTTATTTTCCATCAACGAAATAAAACTCAAAGTAAAGGGAAGAGCCAACTTTTATTTGTTTAATGATAAAATCGAGTTACTAAAATTGCTTAAATATTGGCGTTGTAAACACGCAAGAGCTGATAAAAGTTGCTCTGAATCCTATGCGTTTGAAAGGCCTGAATTGTAAGAAAAACTATGTGCCAAGAACAAAAATGCAATGAGCAAATATAAACAGGTGAACTCCGTTGACCTCGGCGGCAGGAAAATATTTTCCCAATAAATGGAAAATTTTGTGGCCTTTTTATGTGTCTTATTCTCTTTCCTACTTTTATATTCTTATTTTTAATTACAATTTTGATGACCCTTTTCATTCTTGGCCACAAGAGGAGGGTGCATTCCACTTGCATTTGTACAAACAAATATTTTGCTTATGCACCTACCTTTTTCTGGTAACGAAAGATGTCCAACATTTGTTCTACAAGCCAATCAGCTCAGATAGATACCTTACGAACAGCGATAAAAGCCAAATAATTAATCAAGAAAACATGAAAAACCCAAAAAATGTAATGAACTTGTGTTTACAAGAGGGAAAAGCAGGTAGAAATTTATAAAAATTATTGCAGGCGTAGTAAAGTTGTTACATAAGAGAAACTTAACAATAAAATGTTCCAGATTGTGTCTTCTCCTGTAGATAACAAAGACGAGCTCAAAATGCTAATAAGAATTTAAAGCGCATAAAAATAATCAAATCTACTCAATTTGATTCAATTTGGTTAGAATTATAATAGAACTGAAATGCAATGCATTCTAAGACAGTTTTTACAACAACAACATATGGCGTGAACTTAATTTGGTTTTTTTTCGTGACACTGCACATTTCCAACCACTTCAGCCTAACCAGCAACTCACCGCCTTCTCTTATAGCCAAAAGAAGGCTCAAGGCGTAGATAAAAAAATCGCTTTAAGAAAGCAGGAAGTCATCACTCTCCGCTGCCTGATTGCATTTAAGCCATGTTTCGAGTATTTGGTTTTTTGCCCTCCACTCATGGTATGGCAACTACCACCACATACCACAGCATACACTTCCTATCAGTTGCGAGGGCACACCCAAAAATATTCTGAACTTTGCCGTCATGATCACTCATTTTGAAAGGTTCGAGATAGGCTAATTTAGACAGACTATGCTTTTTCTAACATTTTTTTTCTTGACCTGGCTTACTGCTCACTGGCCAGAGCCGGCCATCAATAAATGTTGTGTGACGTATCGATCGGAATTTGTTGCAGACTATTGCTTTGTTGTTGTTGTGTTTATGGCGTCGGTGGCGGCGTTGGTGTGGGTTGCGGCTTAAGCCTTTGGTTCCGCATTGTGCGCTTTGATGCTGTAGCTTATGTGTGTTGATGATGACGGTACATGCTTACACGTGGAAATGCAGGAATATTTTTGTTTTACAGCTGTCTCTTATACACATCTAGATGTGTATAAGAGACAGACTCTAACTCAAATAGGATAGTTCAAGGTCATTTATCTATAATTTATAAATTTATAGAAACTTGTGGTCTGATAATATTCAATCTAGTTTTTTAATATTCATATTTGTATTTTTCGTAGATTTTTCTCTTTTAAGCGCTTATTATAATAAAAAAAATTTATAAAGTCTGATCAAATTTGACCCGGACTGCCATTGAAAAAGTTCATTTTCATTTATTTTAATGCAAATCTTTATTATCGTCTTCAAAATAATCTCCCACTTCAATCGAAGTATCCAATTTTCACTTACACTTGTTATAAGCCACGGTTGAAAAGTTCTCCTGTGCCTTCAGCGAATTTTGTTTTCGTTTTTGGCTCATTTTTGAAGCATAACAAGCTGGACTGTTGGACAATTTTTATTTTTCTACCTCTATTCCGAGCCTTATTTGACATCGTTTTTTCGTTTTTGCACAAGGTTGCGGTTTTTACGTTCTCGGTTTCTTAGCCGAAACATTAATCAAAATGTATTAAGTCGATCCAGAGATGTTGGATCCCCTGATAGGTCTCTGTAGACAATAGAACAATTTTAGGCATTATTACTTTAAAATTTGCGATGTTATCGTCAGATAATTATGCCGGAAATCGATATAAGCCATTCTTAACTCTTAAAAACTTCACCTTGCCCTTCCGACCCCAGATCGTACGTAATTTTTTTTTAATGTTTAAAAACTTTGCTAAATTTATTTTTTTTTAGTTTAAATTTTATTTTTATTTTTTATATTTATTTTTTTAATTTTATATTTAATTATTAATTTTTTTATATTTTATCTTTAATTTTTATTTTTTTTTTTATTTTTTTTTTCAAAAACTGCACCTAACTGCATTTTTTCTGCATTCCACTGTACCCCAATGCACCAGCGCGCTTATCGTCTTGCACTTGGTTCAACTACGTCATTGTAATTCATCCCCACACACATTAGCGCTATTTAAACTCTGTAATGTACAAAAAATGCATTATTAATTTGTTGTTGCATGTTGTAATTAATTTACGTTTTTCCACATATTTCCGTTACACAACTTACACGTTACCAGCATTTGAGGCGAATTTAAAGTGATTTTAATGATTTTGGTTTTGTTGTTTTTTGTATGACTAAGGGGCGTTTACCGATCGCCACAAAGCGATTTGGGTGCTGAGAATGAGTAAGGAGAAACTAAAGAATTTTTTTCTCCTTTTTTAATTAAAAATTCTAAAATAGTGTGCATTGAATAATGCTAAAAACATTACTTTTGAAGGAAGAAGTATTTACTGGGCAATTCACCTTGTGGTGCATGTCAAGTGTTTGAGCATGAAAGTTGAAAACTTTGTTGTAATTAGGAATTTTTGTTGTTGTTGTGTTTAAAATTGTGGTTGTTGTATTTATATAATATCATAAAATAAGATTTTTTAGATTTCCGAAGGTCATATATATCGCTTTAAAACTGATTGAGTTTGCGATCTAGTTAGCGATGTAGTTAGTGTTCAGTTAGTGTTCTAATTAGTAATCAGTTAGCATTCTAGTTAGCGATTACTGTTAAGTCGGTCTTAATTAAGTAGAGCCAACGGAAAGCTGTAGATAATTTAAAGTGTCCACTTAAAAATTTTGCTTTAGAAACACTTTCTCCATCAGAGAAATGCACTCATAGGTTTTCTTCGTACAACAACTATACAAGCTATAAATTAATTAAGCAGCCACTACATGAAAGTTTAACTGCTTTATATTATTTATTTATTATTTCTGCTTCAGACACATATTTCACATAAATTGTTGTTATTTTTTCTTGTTGCTTCAACCAAAAGTACTTTTATCACCCGCCATTTCTCTGCTGATTTCATATCGCGCTTACGCTGCAACAATAAGCAAAATGAGATTTCCGTGTGAAATTCGGCGTTTTCTTCATTTTTATGGAGCGAGAGAAATGCAAGCCATGCAAGAAGCGCTAAAAACTATGTCAATTGTGCAACCACGCTTAATTTTTCTCATGCGACCACATACATACAAACATAGTAAATAAGTTACAGTAATGTTAAAAAATTACGGAACAATCCATTTTTACATAGATAGAGAGGAACCCAAAATAATCATTTGATGCCATACCTGGACTATAAGATGGCTGCATAAGAACATCTCAACCAAGCTCCAAAAGCTTCTGGCGAGTCAATATCGATCCTGGTGGCCTGGCGTTGTCCTGGTGGAACAAAATGTTTCTTCCATTGGCCAAAGCCGGCGGCTTCTAGGTGCTTGCTTCCTTTTTATGGTACTACGTGCATGTAAAGCCCGAATTAAGAGATTGCCATACTTTCTATGAACCCGGCGAATTGGCTGGCATTGATATTGGCCGCCTCAATAATTTTGTTGTAACCTCCAAGCGTTTTGTCGATATGCGACGGTCTTTTTGATCCATACTTAGGAGTTCTGGGCAACAACAACGCTCCGGTGTGTCCAGCTGTATAGGAAGAATTATTCGTGGCTTCACGAAAAATCAGCATACTTACCTAACCTAACCTAAAGCCATCTATTGAGAAAATAATACATTTGTTTATATTCGTCTAACTATGATTTTTTCAATCCTAAAAGTATGCTTTGAATATAAATCTTGCTCTATTCTGGCTAAGTAGACCACAGATTCTAGAGTGAACCTCTGCTTTAGTTCTCAGTATGGTGTTTGCGAACGCTAGGCTCTTTTCTTTACCCATTAGACTCCGAGATTAAAACTTATCTTCGCCGCTTAAATTACTAAGTCTAACTTACCACGCATATTAAATTAATTTTTGTAGTTAAAGAAGACATGTGTATGAATTGCATAATTCACTTTTCTGACTTTTCCGATTTTTTGATTCATGTGATCAAATTTGACCCGGACTATTCTAATTAAATTGTAATTCAAGAGCACAAAGCATTCAGTGAAGGTCGTGAAGTCATCGAAACCTCAGCTAGTCGTCTATCCACCTTTGTCAATAAGGATACCCTCGAAAAAGTCAAACCAGCAGTGTTTAAAAATTGTCTTGTTGGCATCAAAGAGATGGCAGAGGATCTC